GAATACGGTTCCTTTCAGGGGCTCGCTTTTGAAAGGGGCTCTATGCTAGTAAACACCTTAAACTGGACTTTGAAGTAACCAGGGAGAAAAAAGTATAGACTCTTATTTTATAATGGTTCCTTAAGGAACAGGTCCAATAAAGAAATGTACTCAAGTATGGTACTCCAGAACCCAGTATAACCCCCAAAAAGGAATCGGCTGCCCAGAGTCGCTGCTGTGGGATGTGAACGCCGTGGACTCTTCGGCGTTGCAGGCGACGGAGGCATCTATGTACAGGTCCTGCCATCAAAAAATTGGCTTTTGGGGTTTAGGGTTTAGGGTTTTAGATCTCAACTCTAGGGTTTAGGTTTTAGATGCGGGGATTGGGGTTTAGGATAGAGGGTTTAGGATTCAGGTGTCAGGGTTGCAGGTCATTCCACAGTAGGAGAACAGACCTGAAAGCTTACAGTGGGATCCAGGGTGTCTAAGACTTCAAACCCTAAACCCTATAAACCCTCAACCCTACACCGTGACAGGACACTCGGGGTGGCAACCCGAGGCTCCTGTGGCCCGAAGAGGACGTTCGGAAACTATCGTATAATCATTTTCCTGCTGTGACTATGACCGTAAACCCTGAACCCTAAACATGTGAGGCCAGTATAGACCCTAAACCTAACAGAAAGGCCTAAACCCTGAACCCTGAACCCTAAACCCCAGCAGAAGCCCTTAACCTGAAACCCCTAAACCCCAAACACTATGAGCCCAAGACTGCCCTCGAAGATGCAGTTCCCAAAGATTGGGAACCGAAGATGAGGGTGCACCAGATACGGCCTGGAGTCTAATAGCAGCTGCAGGTATCGTACCGTGGACATACATACATGTATATATATATATGAGCTTGTACATATATATATATACACATGTACACATATATATATATGAACTTGTACATTTATATATATATACACATGTATACATATATATATGGAACATATATACGAACACATGATAAACACATGTATCAAAAGGATGGTATTGTGAAGGCATGTCTGGGATTTTGTTTAAGGAGTGTAGGGCTGTAGAACCTCTTCCACATGTCTGAAATGGCAAGGCTGCCTGGTGGCAGAATCTCTCTGCCGACCTAGGCCACCTAAACCCTAAACCCCCCGGAACCCTATAACCCTAACGCCCTAAACCCTAAACCCCCCGGAACCCTATAACCCTAACGCCCTAACACCCTAAACCCTCAAACCCTAAACCCTAAAACCCTAAAACCCTAAAACCCTAAACCCTGAACCCAAACCCCAAACCGAGTCGAAGGTCCCTAGAAAAGACGAATCCCCAAGGGCAAACAAACTCGGTCCGACACGCAAGGGCGCGCGAATCGCAAACATCGGAGAGTCAATCCCCGGGCTCAGGTAAATGAAAGGATCGGGAACTCTCTGGGGCTCAGGGTTTTTTCGGGCTTAAGGCTTAGGGGTGTTGGCTGCAGCGGCCATGCCAGGTGCAATTGTCGATTCATGACCGGCTAGATACTCCTGAAGTCCAAGGACGCATACCAAAACCCCTTCTGTTTTATGTGGTGTGGAGTTCTAGGGTTTAGACTCAGGGTCAGAAATGTAACTATGTTGTCTCAGTCGAATGTTGAGGGTACTGCGACATCAATCCAAGCAACCTAAAACCTAAACCCCGCTAGCGTGGCTCTTCACATGCTTCCTACTACGTGCGAGCGGACGCTCGCAACAGAATTTGCTTGGGCCCAGGGACGGAGATTAGATAGTCGTCGAAATTCCAGTCGCCATGATTGCAAACTAACAGAACAGCAATCACAAAACTAGCTGCGCAGCTGGAGTCGGACTAGTAGTGGTCGTCGTCGAGGTAGTGGTAGTGGCAGTGGCTGGCTAGTGTATAGTGTTCGTAGTCGTAGTACTGTAGGAGGTACACTTGCAGTGCTTGTGGCCTACCTGCCGACCTGCCTACCGACGCACAGGCTCAGACTGATAAACTCACCCTCACACGCACACACTCTCCTACAAGACACACACCTACATTTGGCGTGTCATACTCGTGCACACGCATAAGGACCTGCTCGACGTCTTGGCCTGCATGGATGTGTGCATGCGTGCATCTGGACAAGCTGCAAATGAGAGGTTCAGGAGGGAAACTCGCCGTTGTTGGAGCCTTAACAAGTAGATGAGGCGTACTATGGCATAATTTTGTGAAGGAGCCCTGACGAATGGCTTTAGCAGGCCTAGGATTTTCGGGTTTAGGGTTGAGGGCTTAGAGGTTAAGGCTTAGTGCTGTCGGGCTTCAAATATGTTCAGCATTTTGGAATTAAGGGCCGCAGGGTTTAAGGATTTCGAGTGTTAGGATTCAGAGTTTAAGGGTTCAAGGTCTTCGGGCTTTGGGGTGTTGTGTGTTGCAGTTTATATAGGTCCGGCACGTATGTGCAACTGACTCAAGGTTTTTGGCTTGGTGTTCATGTAATGCATGGTTTACAGCAAGTGTTTTAGAGGACAGAGGGTTCGTGCTGTTTGAGCTATTTGAGCCCTATGGCTATAAGATGCTACGTATAAGGATATGATATAAAGCCAGAAATGAGATGTCAAAGCCCAGTGGTTTTATGTTATGTTAAACATGAAGAGCTTCTCAACAACCACCAGGTGAACCCGAAGCGATTTTACCACGCTGTGCGAGACAAGCCTCGTAATTAGCAAGTCTGCACTGTATCGAGCAGCAAACTGCTAGGATGTCATCTTTTGTCCAGGCATCTAAGGCATCCGCGTGTGCACCGGAACCAGCCTTCGAGGATGAATCGCGCACCACAGCTTGCGTTCGGTCATCGAGACCAAAGGGTCCAAGTACCCGTATAGTAGCTACTTGGTAGATATTTTTCGCCCCAAAGGTGTAGCTTCCCTAAACCCTAACCTAAACCCAATAAAATATTTCCCTAGACCCTAAACCCTGAACCTTAAACCATTACTTGGACCCTTTGGGTAGTATGATTCTGGACTTCGCCTCTGGCTGCTTGGAGCTCCCCGGGGGCGCTCGAAACAGCCGTCGAAGCGCCTTCCACTTTTTGCAGATGAAAGCTGGCGAGGTCTCCTGGGCTGCTTTTTTAGGGTTTAGGGTTTAGGGTAACCAGGGAGAAAAACAAGGTGCAGACTTGTATTTTATAGTGGTTCCTTGAAGGAACAGGTCCAATAAAAAAAAGTATTCAAGTATGGTACTCTAGAACCCAGTGGTTGAAGTTGCCAGACGAAGGAAAGTTCCCCATTCTAGCTGAAACGAGGCTCGATTCCCAAAAAATAACAAGAGCCAAGTCTCGTCCACGGCCAGCAAGGAAGGTGACGCAAGGTTTCGGGTCTGAGGGGCCATGTCCGTCGAGAACTCGCTTGCTGGTAGTTAGCCGTCACGTCGCTGAAGAGCTGCTCGCCGGCGGGCCTGCTGAAAGTTGATCTCAACCCTGCACCCCCAAAACTCTTACCCCGCGACTACACATTGGGCGTGCTTACTTATGCTGTTGCAGTGAATATGTTTCAAGGCTCTCGAGATCTCGCGCGCGGCTGGCGGACTATATACTCCAGCAGCCTCGCAAGATCTCTATTTACGATTAACGGAGGCAGGGACTATTTACTATTCCAGGGTTGGCTGCTTGCCCGCTTGCCCTCATTGATCATTGACTCCACACCTACCACAAAATGCCACTACTGAAACTCGAAATGCTTTATTAGCATTCTGACCGCAGAACTTCCAGCTGCATGGTTGCAACTGCTGTTGCCTTTCGATTAATGCTGCTACCCTCATTCATGCAAGATGTCTATCCCTAAACCCTGAAGCCCTGAACTCTGAACCCGAAACCCTAAACTGAAACCTCGAAACCCGAAACCCTTACATCCGAAACTACCGGAAATCTTCAATGCCGCCATCAACTCCAGAAGCTCAGCATTCAACCTGCATTTTTGCATCCGAATTCCAAGCCGAACACCATCCTGCTACCACCGGCTTAGGGTGTAGGGTGTAAGGGTTGAAGGGTCCAGGGCTTAGGATGCTTCTACTACCACCACTACTACTACCACCACTACCACGACTACTACTACACCTTCCACTACTATAACCACCAGTACTGCTACTGCTGCTACTACTACTACTACTCCTCCTCCTCCTCCCACTACTACTGCTACTG